CAAAGGTATGGTTATACTTCTGACAAGCTCATGTTGGGCATATAGTGAGATCGCCTTTTCTAGAGAAAAGGCATGCTTGTGATTTGTTTGCATTGAAATCTACCAAGTTATTGGATCCCCATTCGGGAATTGTTGCCAAGCCCATATTTATGTTGTCAATTAACCCGAATGCACTGTTCTGATCAGAGATTCGCAGGAATGGCACTCGAGTCTAGTAGGTATTCATCAATAACGACTTGTCTCATATGCTGTCATGGTCATGGCTAAGCATTGAAGAGAAGTGCTTTTATAGTGACAATAGGCCCATATTTACGGTTTCTCAGAACTGAAATGATCAAAATATATTGCTAGCTGAAGCCTCGTGATATAATCTTAGTCCCTGGGTAATAATGATATTCTTTACTACATAATACTGTATAATAGTATATTATTCAACAAGCATATAATGAGTGCTATTATTCACGAAGGTTAAGTTTATGTCACGAGCGTAGCGAGTGGCATAATTAACCTTAGTGAATAATAGCTCATTATATGCGAGTAGAATACTATACTTTGTCCACGACTACTATACTGTCCTTGATATATGAATTCATTTTCAACAACTGTTTTATCATAACTTATTTGACATTAGGAAAACTGAAAATTGAAGATCCCTGTTATATTAATTCTTTCTAAGACTATTTAGGCCTATTTATTCAAATTGCATCCATTATTCCCATTATCATTGTGACCTGATGAGGATGAATTTTATTTCATGAATCCTAGGTAAGCAATTTTTTTTTTCATGTCTTACTTTCATTGCAAGATATTTTTCATCACATGCCTGATTCAAAAATTTCTAGAATGTTTCTGCTTTTTTCGGATGAAAGCCTTCAGACTTCCTTTTCAGAAGTGAATGCAGTTTTACATAGTTTTTCATATTGACTCCTTGATTATATTAAGCATACTCCTGAGCATCGAGTGATGTGTCCATAATGTGGATGGCTTATATTTTGCAGCTGATTCCGTGAAATATACCAGTAAGATTGACCAGTTCATGCAGGTGTTGTTCACAGATGCATATAGATTTCGGAAGTTCTCCGGCAACGAATTCATTGACGTGACTTTTGCAGCTTCTATTATCTCCTCAATATCCATTTTTTAGGAATTATAACTGAAACACCGCGTGTCGTCGAAATTTGACGTTTCAACAATGACAACTATTTATGATTAGCTTGTCATATCATACATGTCAATGGCTTCCGTATTCGATATCATCTTGATATAGTCTATTTGATACTAACATCTTATTCCAAGTATATACATACATTATAAAGAGAGGAATAATGTAATACTGAGGAGGTATATCAAGATTTTTATATATTTGAATATGATTCGTATGAAGTTAGCTAAATGTACCTAGCTATAGCCTGAACGTGTACTGATAAATGCTCGCTTGATACAAAACATTTATCGTGTACCCTACGAACTCTAGACCAGTGAATAATGATTATTCACCGCTATTATTCACTGGTGTGGAAAATGGCTATCGTTTTGCTTGAGGAAGTACATGTATTATGAATATTTTATACAACAGTCGTGGACAAATAGCTTTTATACAAAAGACAAGCATCGGATCATGTATGCAATCTATTTAGTTTCTAATTCTACAGCAAGCTATGAAAGTCTTTTATGTCAGACACTGTCAAATAAAGCTTCCAAAATTCAGTTACGGATTATTTTTTCTAAATTCTTAAAAAATACTGATACGAGAGTGAAAGGTCGGTAGCTACCACTCATCCTTTTTCTCAATTCATTTAACATTTGTCAATATCGATGGGGTTGTACGAATGAGATATAACCCTTGTTCGACTCGAGTAAACCTAAAAATCGCGAAAAGCCCTACCAGAAAAAAGAATGACGCAGACGCAAATTATTCCCCGTGTCATATAATGCGATCCTCGTGCATCTGAAACAGTTCCGTGTTTGAGAAGCTGATTAAAAATTCAGCCGCTAAGCCCCTGGAAGTGCCGGGAAAACGGATCGAAAGATTTCCCCAATTATTTTTCTTTCTTTTCATTCAACATACAGATGGAAAAGTGCACACGGAATTTTCCGTGTTTTCGCCCTTCTCCAGTTTTTCGATCGAACGGATTACTCTGTCTGCGCGTTTATGAACTGCATCAGGTGAAAAAAGGTTGGAAATATTTCACGAGAATAGGTATTGGATGATTGTCTCTTCGAACAGGTCGACATATAAAATGGAAGCTAATACAGCCCATGAAGAAGCGGTTTCTTCCAGATATTAGCGGAATGATTTGTACTAGAAAAATAGTCTGGAAAAATCAGTTCTGGAACCAACACTATATTTCTTCTCCATATCAACGATTTGTTGGAAGCAACTTCATGTCCAGTACACAGCTTCGCTGATGATAGTACCCTCCATACCGCCTTCTCTTCCAGGGCTCCAATACCAGCCAGGCAAATCAGAAACGAACGAGGAAGAAATGTTGACAACATAAATATGGACGTGGCAACAATTCTCGAATGGGGATTCAATAACTTGGTAGATTGTAATGCAAAAACCACAAGCATACCTTTTCTCTAGAAAAGCCGATCTCACTGTGCCCAACATAAGCTTGTCAGGAGTAACCATACCTTTGAAGACATCCATTTCGATGCTTGGTATTACTATCAGCAATAACCTTTCTTGGGAAAATCACGTGAGATTGATCACTAAGAGTGCATCCCAAAAACTTGGTTTTCTGTTTCCATATTTGGAGTGCAGCACCCAAACATACCCTGAAACTGTTGGATTCTGTCCAAAAAAGGACAATCCGTCTGGTGGGTGATGCCTCGCTTACAAACTCACTCACTTTTCTGGAACACCGTGGAGAAGTTGGCCATCTGGCTCTCTTTTATAGATATTTTCATGGACGATGCTCTTCTGAAGTATCAACAATTGTTCCTCGCTTGGCAGTCCCCGCGAGATTAACCCGTCGAGTTAAGGCTTCGCACCCCTTCGTGGTCACTTTGGACATCTGCAGAACATCTCTTTCCAAAGACTCGTTCATCCAACGAACAGCGAGGCTCTGGAACCCATTGCCAAGGGAGGTGTTTCCCGAGGCATATAACCTCCAGAAATGCAAGAAGAACACCAATTCCTACCTTATTTCCCTTGGTTCTCACGATGTTCTCTGAACATTACAGGATATCCCTTTTCATGGGAACCAGAACATAAAAAAAATTCTTCATTACACTTGGTTGAAAATAAATTTTGATAACCGCATTCAATGCAATTATCAATTATCAATCACTATGACAACACGATCGACTTGGACGACAAATTATTTTCCGCCGAATATCTCTCGAACATTGACAAATGCCTCAAAAATCATATATCTCGTTGATTTTTCGATGCGAAATTTGATATTGAAGTACATCATGAATATATTAATTACCACGCATGCACAGGCTCGTTCTTCTGTGGTTCTTCCATATTTATTTACTGCCTCTTGTTAAGTTGTGTGTGAATAAATATATTATTATTATTATTATATAAACTGTGTCCACTGACAAAAAGAAGAGCAAGTAGGTAGCTGTAAATGCCTCGCTATAAGTGCGCAAAGAACGTGAAATTCAGAACTTTTTCGTGAAATATCTCGAAAAATAGTAGTTTGTTCACATTCTCATTATCAAATTCGTGTTTTGGAGACAAAAATACGTGAGTACCAGAAAAAATTTTCGAAAAACAATTCATCACATGATAAGTGCAAAATTACCAAACGCATTAAAACCGGAATGCAAAGAAACTTTCAATGTAACCAAAATGTACCTACTTTCTTTTACTTACTTAAATCCGCAAAAAGGCGTATCGCCTATTTTGAATCGCCTCGAATACGATTGGTTATGGTTTATCGCGATCAGTAATCGACATTCATCATGGACCCCAAATTCGAGCGCCAATAACTCAAACACGATATATTATTAACATCATTATCGAAAGTACCCCACTAGGAGATAAGGAGAAAAACACACATTTTTACCTGATAAATAAAATCTTTGAATCGGTACCGCCCCATCAATCATCCTACAAATATGACAGCCATCGCTATTGCTTTTCGCCGACATCTTCACCTGTCAAACAATATGAGATGCCTTTCTATTAATTTTTCCATTCTTGTCTCCATATCGGTTTTGAAACTCTCCTGATAACAGATAAAATTCTGTTTGATTATCGACAATTGTTGCCGCTCCGATAAGCCCAGTTATTATAGTTTTTTATTTTTTTATAGCAATTGGTGATATTATTGATTAGTGAGTGTTTGTTCACCGACAATCAATAGAAAAACAATGAGTTTCCAATACATATTTGGAATGGGGTATACATCAGGGTGTTTTAATAATATGTTATTATAATATGTGGGACGCACTTCCAGGGGTGATAGAGCGTCTCAAGGAACTGATAACTGTTAATGTCTTTGGATACGTCTTCCAGTCTTTTTCATAAATTCAATGACGATGACTTTTACTTGACTTTTTACTTTTTATTATATTGACACACTGTCACGTTGGTCCGTCAGACCCACTTGACTGTATTCTCACAATATACCGTGTGAAGGCATAACATTCTTCCCCCTGAAGAAAAACAAAATACATGGTTTTATAACTAGCCTAGTTGAATACAAATGAAACAAAGATAAACATGTTTATATTCAATCTTCTAAGGGTAATCTTCCAAGTTTGGCGACTGGTCGTCTGAATATTCCGTTCTTGGTCTTGACGTCGACTACCCTTATCCTTCCATCCACTCCAGGAAAGAGTTTCTCAACTTTGGTTTCATTTTCGTTCTTGTTGTCTTCGGATGCTTCTTCAATTTCTATTTTTATTTCGGGAGTTTTGATGGTGTCTGTATTTGCCGCCTGATTGGAGTCTGACATTTTTCCTTCTTCTTCTCCTTTTTCTTCCTTTGTTTCTGTGGCAACTGATGTAACTCCCGGTTTGAATGAATCAATGCTTTCTTACACATGTTTCTGGTTTTCGAAAATTAGGTTTTTAGTTCTCTTCCTATTTTTTTCCTCTGGTCTATCCATGAACGGTTCCGGCACGTTGAACCTCTTGCAGAGACACGAACACGGCCGCCAATCCAAGGTCACTCTTGTCAACCGGCCGAACATCTTCATCCTGGCCGCCTCACGCATGTCCTTGGTGCCGTGAGTGGTCTCGCTTTTCTCCACCAGTTCCAAGATGTCGGTCACGTCTTCCTTCTGGGATGCGGACACGAACCTATCGGACATGAGAGACAATACACTGAAGGCATTTGCAGGCTTATTTCCTTCAGGATTCTTGTGCGTGTTTGTCGGTACTTCTTTTTTCTGAATTGGTTGGGACTGCGTGTAAACTTCTGGTGTCTCTTCCCCCAAGTATTTTGCTCTTATATTAGGATTGATACTAGCCCTGTCAACTTCTTCAGTTTCCTAGAGGCTCGAACCTCGACTTCTTCACTTTGTGCTTACCAATGAAACTGTGTGGGATCGTAGGTGGCGGATAGACTTTTTTGAAAATCAGCTTATTCTTCGCTTGCACAAACATCCCGAACACCAAATCGCCGTGCTTGGCATCGCTACTAGTAGAACACTTTTCCTTGATCAACTCATGATCATAATTGCTCATGTCTTCCCTCATGTAAATGTCATCGTCATCCTCTTCAAAAGCCCCAACTCCAAAAGCTTGTCCTCCGATCGAAAATTTCTTGTTGTTCCTGTCGGTCACCACCAAGTTTGAGCTTCTGAAAAGATTCACATGCGATCTGTCCAGTCCTTTGTAGTCCAAGCCGAAAGTGTTTGATTTCGGTTTTTCTAGACACTCCCTGTAAATGTCGGGGATCTGGTATTGTTTGTTTTCGATTTTTGTCGGGATTTTATATTGAACAGGCATTTGACAGCCGTACGTTTTGCTTGCAGAGTTGACTTCGTCTAGGTGTTTTTCGATTTTTTCTTTGAGGCCTATGTTCTTGAGAAGGAGGTAACCGACTGTTTCGTTACCGCTTGTTAGTAATGTTTCTAGGACAGGTTGGCCAGGAATTGGACCTTCTGAAAATACCTGCTTCCTCCTTTTCTTTGAAGTAGAATAATCCTTGGTAGCCCTGACCACTTGCGGGGCGATACCGTACTCCCCCAAGTCCTCATCGTCCATGAAGTCCTCGGGCTTCTGCGACACGCCGCGAGCCTTCTCCTGCCGAGTACTCTTGAATTCGCTGGGGGTCCAACCTTCCAGCGACCCCACCGTATTGAAGAACCCGGCCGAGAAGCCGCCGGTGAAGGCCCCATGGAACCTGCGACGGCCCTGCGCGTCTGCTCGAAGGACCAGTGTTAATGTCTTTGGATACGTCTTCCAGTCATTTTCATAAATTCAATGACGATGACTTTTACTTGACTTTTTACTTTTTATTATATTGATACACTGTCACGGTGGTCCGTCAGACCCACTTGACTGTATTCTCACAATATACCGTGTGAAGGCATAACAGATAACAGTACCTATGAACAAAAGTTCAAAACTAATTTGTTTCCGAGTTACAATAAGGTGTTGAAATTTCAATAAGATTTATGCAATTTCCTCAATTTCTCCATTAGATATATTTATAGCTCTTGCAGTTTTTAGGATACACAGCTCAAATTTTGAATACAGGTTACGCTGTTGGGAATGCCAGATGGTCTTCAGGATCTACAGGGAGATATTTTTTTAGGGGTCGCACTCTCTTTTTCCACTCTGCACTATTTTGCGGTGTGCCGCTGAAATGCATTTTATGCTTTTTGTATAGTATCTTTTCGTTCTCTTCTACAAGCCTTGTCTCAGTGAAGTTGGCCAAACGCCCCAAATTGAACAAATGCGTTCAAACAATATTGAATGTTGGTATTCTACAACAAGATCATGTAGCTTGCCATACGTCTGAAAGAGTAAAAGGTGGGTTGTTGGAAAAATATATTCCAGTTTTAAAATGGACGTCGAGTATGGTCCAGATCTATCGTCGATTGAAACCTTGTGGCATATTGTAACAATGTAGATATGAGGGTTTATGCGCAGGTCCAGGTACTGTCATGTCAATAGTCACCAATGGGCTTATATCACAAAAAAAATTACTTCACAATTCGATAGTACTCACCCAAACTAGCTCACCACCGCAAACCGTTTCTTGCTGTGAGCTCCCTGCGTTTTATAAAAAATTATTGGAATCCCTGATTTTTCGGACCTCTGAAAACGAGGCGATGATGTGACGTCAAAACCCTAATACTGAAACAAGACTATTGCAGACAGAGATGAATGATACATGATTTCTGACAGATTGAATTAGCGCGAGATCACAGTTGAAAGAATTAATATATCAGTTGCCTCAGTCTCCATCGGGCGTTTGGTATTGTCTTCTAACTATGGCGAGATGAGGTTTCTACGTCATAAGAGGTTCCGTTTTCAGAAGGTATGTATTATTTATGTCCAAAAATAAAACATTCCAGCTAATTTTTTGATCGAATTATGTCGTCAATCATTATTTATGTATAAAAGGATCATTATAAATATGGTTTGAGTTAAAAGTTCTACTGAGGTGAGTTTTGGCGCCCTTTATTACATTTTACTTCGTATGAAAAGGGAGTAAGATTTTTCTAACCTCCTTTCTTGATCAAAAACAGGAATGCTTCCTGGGTTTGAGACTATCGAATATAGTATTTTGATAGTGCGGTCTGCACTTTCAGGTAAGTTTTTCATGATATTTTGTTGGTCCTGTTTTACATTTTAGTTTGTGTGAAATAAAGATGTATAGAAAGGTGGAATCTAACGGAAATGGTGTATTGAATAACCCTGTCCTCTTCAGAGATATCCCTAAGAGCGACGAGACCGCGTATTGTCCCAATATCATGAAAAAAAAGCTTCGATCGAATACCGCAAGAAGCGTTCTAGAATTGCGAACAGATCTCCAAGACATTTTTGAAACAGTTTTACACCATATGACATTACTTGACACTATATTATGTTGAGACGTATCGAAGAAGTAATCAGTCGAAAAGGCCATGTAACGCACTGGTGGTTTGCTGCTATTTTGTTTCGATGATTTTTATATCAATCGGCAGTTTTTTTGAACTTCCAAACAATTTTTCTCTGTTACAAAAAAAAATTATATTAGGCTAATATCGTATATCATCAGAAAGACATTATAGTTTTCAATATTTATTCGATAGTATGACAAATGTCGTTGAAAATGTAGCTTCGGTATTTGGGCCAACTTCACTGAGACAGGGCTGAAAGAAAAAAAAAGGAAAAATTCTGGAACAGACCAACTGTCTTTTAATTATATCATAATCACATTATTATTTTTGATAATTTCAGAAATGATGTATGAAAACCCAAAAATCTTTAGGAATGAATTCTATGGTTGACGGAAATGAAAGACATTTTGTATACACACGTTGCGTTGGACCGACATTATTACTGACATCAAAAAAGTTACAGATGCTATAAAGCTAATCCTCTTAGTGGAAGAAGAACGCTATTTCGGTTCTGCCTTAAATAATTAGCCTGACATGTGGGGATTAAGCGACAAACTTTTCACAAAGTCGAATTAATTAGGAAACTAAAGTGACTTTACTGTTTTTCCTCATCTGAACCATTTGATGTTGCACACACACTGAAATACATACTTGAGTTGGAAAATAAATACTGACAATAATAAATTGATGTGGAACGGTGAATTTTCAAATGAAGTAAGGACAATAAATGACGAATATAAGCGAAACGAAATTGAAGAATATATTAAATTTTTAAGTAGGTTTTGTAAATCATTGTTTTCGATAAGATCAGAAGTACTATGGCAATGTTAGCAGCGTTCAATTTCAGTTCAAAAGATGGCATGGTTAGTCAATTACATAATTACATTTTTTGAAAATAGTTTATGATTTTGTTTCTTCTGGAATATTACAATTAATAGCCAATACGTCTATCATACTCGGTGTATTGAAATGAAATTCAATATGGATGTATGTGAAGAGGAAAGTTTTTGCATATTTTTCACTTCTTAGTCACTTTTAGTTTCGCTGGAAATGGTCCCAGTTTCGAATTCTTAAATGGAATAACCTGTATATTATGATATTTTTGAATTGCATAGAGACAATTCTGGATCAGGATATGACTTTCTCAGAAGTCCTCAGGTGATGCATGTCAAAGTTTCATTGTCTATATAGTACGATAGACAGGAAGAAGACAAGTTGACAAAATTACATTTTTTCTGTGACGGGAAGAAAGTTTGGCATTTCATCTCTGTTGGCAGGTTATAAAATGTCACTTTTCATAAATTACTTTTTTCCCGTGGGAAAAAGTGAGTACTTCTTTCCCGGATATATATCACATAAATATACTCTGTTAATGGCTTTTGTTGTGCTATAGTTCCGAAAAATGAGTCAATAATACCGTCTCCCAGAAAGAACTGCAAGTCCTTTTATCTTCCATTCGACTTCGCGGTTTCGTATATTACTGAACAACTACCGAATTCGCAATTTTTTAAAATCAAATCACAGAATTGAACTGACAGGAGTGACATCAGATATTTGATTACTTCAAAAGAATGATAAAGATGTCTATAAAACGCAGGTGTCCCTACTGTTAAAAACTTGAAATTTCACGTCGATAATTTTCAGATTTCGAAATAATGTAATATTTTCCCAATATTGATTCGTCCTTCCTTCTGTCACAGAAAAAAATAGTGTATTATACACGGGAAAAATATTAGATTTTAGCTCACGGTTTTTTGTCTCCCTCCGCTACGCGTCGGGAGACAACACAACCTGGAGCTAAAATCTACTACTTTTTTCCCTTGTATAATAAATAACTATTTCATGTCTAATTCCAATCTATTATTTTTCAATTGGCAACCATTTCTTGACAGGTACTTTTCGAAAACAATATTTTTTGACGAATCTAACGATACTAATTCATTTACGGTTGTAATGAAAATAAGAACATGATTATTTATTTTCTTTGAATTTCCGTACAAAATAATGTATAAAAAAAGTGATAAATGGATGTGATGAGTTAACCTTAATTAATGAAACTCGCACCCACATGTTGAATTTCGAACATTCTTTTTAAACAAAGAGCTCCGAAATGTTATGCCCTCATAGATTCCTTAACATTATCTCACCCCTATATACTACGCGGTTGAAAAATATTGAAGTTAGATTATTTCTGTAATTTTCATTTCTCCACCAATAATGGTGGGGAAATTTAGACAATTTAACAATATTTGAGAACTGATAATGACATTGTTTTCTTCTTACAGATCTTCTTTTCAACTAAATGTTGCTGATGATGAAGGATTAATCCTTCGAAACATGTCTATGTGTCCATGACCTCTGGTTAATATTGAATTGTTTTTATGTGGTGGAATTGTGACTGTTAGTTCTCTCACCCTTCCTGGTTATAAATTTCTTTCATCACCCTTACAAAATTTTTAAATTCGCTAATCTACCCCGGCGAATTGCTCCGATAGTAATAATGATATCTTGTTCCTAAGTTATAAGGAACCAATTGCAGAAGTCCTAGCCTGATGACAAAAATATTGTGAAAGGAACGTTACTGTCTTTCGGACTATATCGATGCTTGGTTCTACCATCAGCAATAACCTTTCTTGGGAAAAATCACGTGAGATCAATTGCTAAAAGTGCATCTCAAAACTTGGTTTTCTGTTTCGGGCCAGGAGCTATTTCACTTCCAGTCAGCTGCTTATGATCTATAAGACACAGATCCGACCTCTCCTGGAATACTGTTCCCATATATTTGGATTGCAGCACCCAAACATACCCTGAATCTGTTGGATTCTGTCTGAAAAGGGGGCAATTCGTCTCGTGGGTGGGGCCTCGCTCACAAACTCACTCACTTTTCTGGAACACCAAAGAAAAGTTGGCGATCTGGCTCTATTTTATAGATATTTTCATGGACGATGCTCTTCTGAAATATCAACAATTGTTCCTCCCTTGACAGTCTCCGAGAGATTAACCCGTCGAGTTGAGGCTTCGCACCCCTCTTCGTGGTCACTTTGGAGACCTACAGAACATCTTCTTCCAAAGACTCGTTCATCCAACGAACAGCGAGGCTCTGGAACACATTGCCATGAGAGATGTTCCGCGAGGCATATAACCTCCAGAAATTTAAGAAGTACACGAATTCCTATCTCATTTCGCTTGGTTCTCACGATGTTCTCTGAACATTACAGGATATCCCTTTTCGTGGGAACCAGAACATAAAAAAAAGCTTCGATATTAGTACAAACATTCGTATTTTTTCTTGCAGCTAGTAGATCGCTATCGGA